CTGCCCCAGCGATGCTGTGGGAGTTCTGGTCTCTCTCCATCACAGCTGTGCCTGTCATGGACCCTGTTGGTTTGGACCCATTTCATGGCTTGTCCTCAGACCTGTCTTGTCGGTACGGACCTGCCCAGCAATCACGGGACTGCGTCTGACCCTGGTTATTCTCACCAGACCCGATCCTGTCCGTGACTCGTAGATGAACTTCCCAGCTTTACCCTGGACCTGCCTTATTGCTGTGAACTTGCCTGGAGGTCTAGCCTCATGGCTGAAACCGGCTGTTTTCCCCGAGCCTGTGTGGCTCCCCTTGCTGGGGCTCTGGCTGGTGAGGTCCCTGGTGCGGGAGCTGTGTTATTGCACTCACATCCCCCTTCCTTAGGGAGCAGCCGGCCCATGCCGCTCCCCAACATTCGCTTCCTTTCCTTAAACCTAAATCCATCCCTCCTGATACAGACCACAAGTGTTGTAATTTGGTCCCATCTAGACTCTTTTTTTTTTTTTTCCAGCCCATTTAGTCATTCTGTCTACTCTCTCAATTTGCTTGAGATTAAAGAAATTCATTTCTTCCTTGGCAATGCAAGTTCTTGGCTCCTCAAAACCCCTGTATTTCTTCCTTCACAGGTGCAGGGTCAGGGACTTTGTTGTTTGCCTCTCAAACATCACTGAATTTGATACAACAGCTATGAGGTAGGCAAGTATTGCTGCCATCCACTTCACAGAAAAAAGATATAGCCAGACTTAGTAGCAAACTATAAAATCTTATTTAGGTGATATGAGCTGCATCACAGAGCAGCTCTGGCAGAATGAGGGATAAAAGACAGTTCTCTTGCATCCCATCCTTTGCCTCAAGTACAAGGGCTGTCCTTTTCTTCCTGCAAATGTGTCCCTTACATATGATATAAACCCTTCATTTTTTGGAGCTTGCTGCTGGGTAAACATATTTGCACCCCAGTAATTTCTGAAGTTGACCACACATAAATCTATTAAATATGTAGTATGGTGAAATACTGCTTTCATCCAGCTTTGTACGCAGAGCAGTGTAAAAGTGCTCTTTTTTTCCTGTGAGTGAAGGACTAGGGTCTCTAAGCAGTGGTTTGTGAAACCTTGCAGGTTTACTGATGATCAGGTCTGGTAATCCCTGTTTTGCGAAAATGAAATGTCGGTGTCTTTAAAGGGCGTAAAATGTATATAAACAGACATAGAGCTACAGCCTTCATTAAATTGTTAACAAGGGACTAAACCTACATAGAATTATGCTAATTCTGTATTGTAAGTCAGTGCAGGATTTACTTAGGAACTGCAGATCCCCACCAGAGCTTAATGTAGTTTTGTTACAACTTTCTACAGCAGTTTCCTCCAGTTGAAATTATCCTATTTTACACAATAAAGAAGCAGAAGTATAGTATTTCACAATTTTCTTTACTCAGAGTTGGTGGAATGAAACAATTACTGCTGAGCCCTAAAACTGCTTGTACTGCCGGTGATACGCTTTCGAGGACTACAAGCATCTGCTACAACAAAACATGCAACATTGTATTCTGAATTTCACAAATTTAATCCAAAATTGCAACATTTGCTACAGGAATTGGCAGCTCTAGAACTGGAGGTGAGGCTTTGTGAATTCTGATGTTGGACCCAAATCCAAATCAGAAGATTCTGTAGTTAAATTTATTTGAAAGAAGTGAAGAACAAATGTAGGAAGAAAACCACAAGTTTCAATTCTGTGAGATATTTAGAATATTTAGAAAGAAAGAAAAGAACCTGAAGATGGTGACAAAAAAGTATGGAAATAGGAAACAAAGGCTGGAAAATGTAGTGGAAATACCCCCAGACCAGGCACAAGATGAGATTTGTCAGGCTAGTGGTCATAGCATTGAAAGGGAGAGAAAAAAACATTAAGACTTCCAGAAAAAGAGTGTAAACCTTGTAAATTCTTATAAAGCTCCTAATATCTTGTTGTGATAATGGGAAAGAAACACCTTTCTTTTGGCAAAATCTCCACAACAGATGCATCTGAAAAGCATCCAATATCTCATTGTGGCAATGAAGAGAGAAGGTTTCCAGCTTCTCTGGCACCAAATCTAGCAAGGTGTGTCTTTTGGGACGTTAATCAATAGTTCAAGAGCTCTGAAAGCCACAGAGTAGTGGAATTCTAGCAGATGGGGCAGGGGGGTGTCAAAGAAATTTCTCAGTGGCTGAATTTGAATAAGTGTTGCTCAGAAAAAAAAAAATATACAATTGAATACCTCAATTGCAAAGTTCATGAACAAGTTCTGAAGGGAAGGAATCACAGCAAGTCAGTAGACAGTCTGAAGTCTAAGCAAATGTCAGCCTTGTGCCCTCCACTGAAGCCTATCTATAAGTGTTAGTCTATTTTAATAATATTTAATGTGTATTTTTTATCATTGTTCTCATGTTAATAATGGTCTAATTTGACTAAACTGTATTTGGTGAATCAGCTGTTTTCTACTCAGATCAGCTGAGTAATGTTAATCTAGTCTCTCTGACATTAAAAGAATGACTAGAAATGGCTCCAGAAAAAAATAAAGAAAATATCAGGAAAGCAAACCTGGAACTAAAAAACTTCTTGTTTTACAGAAGAAGGTAGGACAGTATGGGGTAGAAGCATATGACAAGTTGTATGCCTTTGGAAAGTACAGTTCTGTTAGCTAAGAAAAATTTTACTTTTTCTAAGTAACATATGATAGTTTTAGTGAACTTTTATACCAGGTAGAAGGATTTTGGACATTAGCTAAACTGTGATCAAGAGAGGTCTATTTTCTTTTGTTATCACTGATGGTTTGTTTCAGAAAAACAATTTTTCTTTGTATCAAGAAAGACCTGTATCATAAGGAGCAGTTAATGGCATTGCTGGAGCTAAAATATCAATCATTCGTTTTCCTAGTATACTAGCAGAAAAAGGAGTCACTACTGATCATTTTTTGTCAGTGAATACATTTTCACAGAATGCGCTTAAAAACTGGTTATAGCATCACAAAAGGATGAAGGATATAACTCAAATCTTGGTGGACTGACCATTCTGACTGTTGGTTCTGTAAAATAAAAATAATTTTTAATAAAAAAAATTACCTGTATGTCCACTTGTTTTAATCATTGTAAAAGGTTATAATGTAAAAATACATCTTAGTAATTTTAAAGCATGGCTAAAAGGGGTAAGATGAAGCAGAGGTCATGAAAGAAGTAATTAAGGCAGCCAGTGTAGTAATGATCTTCAGTAATTTCTTCATTGGTCAACCAAGGAATCTGGCAAAACCAACTTAAAGGGAACAGCAAAAAGGTGGAATGCTGTTTGAGGATCAATTAATGCAATTATTACATTGCAGAAACCAGAGTATGCTCCTTTGTCATGAAGAAATATGCAAAAGCACAAAGATAGTTTTAACATTCCTCTTTTTCCCAAAAACTGTGGTGCTATCTAAGAGTTAAGCAGCATACTGAAAAAAATAAATTAGTTGCACGGTAAACATAAAAGCATGAAATACACACAGCAGAACCACTAACATGCATAGATTGGGAGGATATTCACAAACATATATTAAAGAAAGGCTGAAGGATTACTGAAGAGATGAGTTTGTCTTGAAAGCAAAGCTGCCAGCAGAACTCAGAAGTCTCACCTGTGACCTTTCATGTCTCAGTGCATCCCCTTGCTTTTACTGTATACTTAGGCATGAGTGTGACAGACTTTCAGCCCAGAAAATTTAGCAATAGCTGGGCCTTATTTTTGCATGGATAAAATGTCTTCTCATTGTAGAAACTTTATGGTTATTTCAATTCAAATGAAGAAGTTCCTTCTCCTGAAGGACAGTTACCACTTCCTCTTCTTTACTTGAACATGTCACTATATATCAAATATTTTCGGATTGTTTTGAATGGACTGTGCTTCTCTCTCAAAGGAGGTCAAGGAAAAGGAGAGTTAAGAGGGAGATTTAAAACGCGTAATTCCAACGACCCATAGAGAGGGTCATTGGAAAGTATCTGCATGTGATTTATACACTTCTAAATTTTCCTGTTTAATGTCACATATATTTCTCTTCCATGTATTGTATTTTCTCTGTTTGCATTTGAGATACCTGAAAAAGACAATCAGTTCAATGAATGTGATCATAATTTTATTAAATTAAATTTGGAGTGCACTCTCTTCATTTCAGTCTGTAACCACGTTATCTCCAGCTAAAATTATTTTTGCTCATCTATTAGGAGTTGTAATGTGAAAATTTGTTTTGGCAGTCACATGGCTGGAGGAAAAGCAGCAGTGATTAAGACAGAAAACCTTGAAGTAGTTATAGGAAAAAAACCCTAAATCTGTAAACCAGATTGCTTTGTATGTTATCTGGCTTCTTTGTGCTATTAGGCAGCTCAAAGAGGACAGAGTCTTGCCACTGTAAAAAAAACAGGTGAGAAAATCTGTTGATAGATGGTTGCTTGTGTCACCTTTAAGCAAACAATACCACTTGCTGCCCCATGCGGCGAGATGCATGCCCTAAGAAAGGAGGAGGGCACAGAGGAGTTAATTAAGCTTTACCAATCCCTAACTGACGTAAGCTAAGCTCTGCTGATTCATGCTGGGACCAGCTGACGGTGGTTTCAAATCAGCCCTCAGCATTGAGAATATGTAAGAGTTTCCTTGATGAGTCTTCTCCCTTTATACAGTCTCAAACATCACTTTGGCTGCAAGAAAGATTTTGGTCTTAACAGCAATGGAAATACACAAGAATTGTCCATCCCCATGATGCAAAGCGGGAGCCCACTGTGAGCTTTTTGTCACACATAGTAAAGCTCTTTATGTAGTACACCCATTGATAGTAGATTATGGTGGTAAAAGAATAGTGTCTTGATCAGATTTTAGGCAAAATGGAAAAAAAAAAGTAGGTGTATATATCATCATTGAGGTCATTGCTTGTCATTACAGTGATGAATATAGTCCATCTGCTTCCTCCTCACTGAGTGTCAGTTCACTAGTTTGCCTTTTTCTCAACTTCTGACAGGTGAGGAATGATCTGACTGACGTCTTGTATGGTGAAGACATTGAAATTTCAGATACTGAGAGTTTCTCCAATGATCCTTGCACGGGTGTAAAGAAACTTAAGGTATGTGCTGCTGTTTGGGGGATAAAGAGAAAGTGATGATTATGTCATGGCATTTGATTTTTTTTTTTTCCTATGAAGAAGGCTAATAAAACAAATTTTGCATAAGAATGATATACTACTACATTCCGTTGCATAGTAAGGTTAACAAATGGCATTCTGAGGGCCTGGTCCTGCTTAAGTCAATGAATATCCATGCATATAGTAAATATTTTTATAGTTCCTGATAAGGACACAAAGTAAAGCAAGTTGTTGCTGGCTTAATATTTGTACCTAAAGCACCAGTCTGAGTGATATACGTGTGAAAGCTCTTGAGGTTTGGAACCAGAACCCTTTTAAGGTAAATTATCATGTAACAAAAGCATTGAGCATCTTTCCATTAGCTTCATTACACATTTTAGATTGAATTATTTGCTTATAATCATCTGCATTATTTCATATGAATCACAGGGAAAAAAAAGGAAAAATAAATTTGATAGCAGAATAATTTACCACCATTCTCTTATTATAATGATTTACTAGGTTCCTGGCATCTCATAAAATTAAAACTATATTTTAGCATTACCATGCAGTGCTACCAACAATAAACTAGACATAGGAGATATGAATCTTAAACTACATATGAACATGAAAAAATGATTGAACAGCAAGAGCAAGCACTTTTAAATGGTGAAGATCAAATCATTGCTGGCGTCAAATACATATGACAGACAGTCAAAGCCACAATCCTGCAAATATTTAAATACGTGTAAAACAGGTTTAAAAAAACCCTAATAAACTGAATGGTATTAAAAAAACTAAAATTAAAGCAAGGATATTAACCTGTATAAGACTAGGCCGCTACTGAAGCTAACTGGAAAAGATCCGAAGCATGGTAAACTAAGTGTGCTTTATTATTCCCACAGTCTAGAGATGCAAGCCTAAATGTTTAAAGTATAAATAGGTAAAGATTACGTTTACAGGAAGCCTTTTGTGTCTGTCCAGTCTAAGCCAGTTTGCATTTCCTGTCTGGGGTTGAAAAGACTCCAGTATGTGTTACCAGTAAAGTCCACATTTTTGACAAGGTCTTTAACCCCTGGCATCAGAAAACTAACAATTCTGAAGGCAGAGCTATTTAAACCAATGGATGATGTAATAACGTGAAAAAATGTATATATGCATGTATATTTAGGCTGAAGGTTAGAAGAAGCAATGAGATTGTAGCCTTCTGTATGTCAACAACACGCTGTTTGTTTTATAGGGAAGACCAGAAGACTCTATCAAACAATATGTTAAAGTTAACTCTTCATTTCTTCTTCAAAACAAATTACTACAACAATAAATAAGCAATTATCTAGACAATCACTTATTCTTGACAGGAATGTAGGGTTACTTGTCCTTAAGTACATAGCTCAGACACAACTTAGCTATCCAACTCTGAAAATGTTCATTTCTTTCTTCAAGATGTAAACCTAATATAGGTAAACTGGTACCTGCTTATTATACTTGTGATTAAAATAGACATAAAATACCTTTCCTTTTCATAACCACAGTTTAAATTAATGAACTTAATGATTATGCAATACAAAGTAGAAATATCTGGTATGATTTGCAGAAATATATGTTCTATATTTTTCCCAGCAACACCTTAACATTTACTACATTGACTCCAGGCTCTTTAAATCACAGCTGGAGAGTAAATTTAGGCTTAAGAATATCTTAAAAGTCATTTTTGTGTTCAGAGAAAGGGATATTGGAGGATATGCATTTGTACATCAACTTACATGTTTAAAAATTCTAAGCATGCACAGGCAAATTGTATGAGCAATAACACTTCTGCTTCCAACTTTCTTGTATCTTGCACGTAGGACAAAAAAATTGCAATATATGAATTCCAATTCAATGAAACCATTTCCTTCTGATTTCCCAAATACAATAGGTGTTTTAGATACTGACTGAACATGATCTCTCATTCTAACAGCCAAGTTAATTAAATTTTAAAATTTTGGGCCAGGAACAGGTTTGGATGCGGCCTCAATCTAAGTGAGTGACATGCACACTAACACAGACATCAGCAAGTTTTGCAGAGTGTTATGATGGTGGGAGCTGACATCCTTTAGTTCACTTTCACCATCAGTGATTCCATAGCTAAGGTCAGAGGCTCAACTATAGTTCTTCAAGTGGACATCCAGGCATTTAGAAGGGAGAACATGTGGATGTCTGTATTGACGAAGTTACCCAGCTTTGAGTAGATTTATTGATAACATCTTGACTGTCAGATACATGGTAGAGAATATGACAGAGTATCTGAGCTGTTCAATTTAGATATTTCATAAAGAGCCTGCCAAGACATTGACTTTTCCTGGCAGATGAGATATTGTAGCAATCCTTCTCTGGAAAGCTGTGTAATACAACATTGTGGTGTTATTCATTAGAAATGAGACAGATTAAAATCTGATCACAGAAGGGAAGCTCTGCAGGCCAAAAAAAAATAGCTGCCTGTTCCAGCATAATGTGCATCACTCAAACTCTGAAAAGGCTGAAGAGTGCCTCATATCTGAGGCTCTTAGAAATGGCAGTGGAGGAGACAAGTTGTTCATCCCTCAATGAAACATCTTAGATAGCTTGATCCTCACTGTCTTCAGGGTTTATACTACTCAGCTGCCAGTAGCACCAGACTCTTTATATTTAGTGGATTAATAATATCCTCACCTATAAGAAAGAAAGAAGGGAGCAAGAGAGTCATCCATTTTTGAGGCTGTGCTATAGCCTTCATTTATAAAACATGTTTTTATGGAGAGTCCACCACAACTATGGGTAAATGAAATGTAACTGTTTTTCATTTTCTTGTTTGAACTTTAGTCCAGATGGGAACATATGTATTGCTTACTGAGGGGCAAAGCTTAAATGTTGATATTGCTACTCTAATCTCTGAGAAGAGTAAATATGACAGCTCACCATCTGGCAAATGGTCTAAACATTGGTCTTTTTATATAAGTGCAGTTTTGGGAGTTGCCTTCCCCCTGGGATATGTTTAATCATCTCATAGATCACCTGCCTAGTTCCATGAATTAAAACCTCTTGTGTCAAATACGCTTTAGCTCCATGCAAGCAATTTACAACTCTAAGAGAAAGAAAGAGTACTTGACACTTGTGGGATCCAGTGAGTGACTTCTTTGATCCCTACAAGAGAGTTACACTGTGTTAACTTGCATCGGTCCCATGAGGGTTGATGTAAAGGAATAGCGTATCCTTGCCAGGAAATCATACTGGTTGATAGTTAACAGTGTGACTGAAGGGGGGGGGAAATTATGCCCCAGTAAGTGTCTGATGTATCTCTTTGCATGAGACTATAACGTGGACATATACCCTGACCCGTGAGCACTGAAATGAACCCAGCTCTGATAAACTTCAGTGCAGACTTAACTATCCAAATAAAATCTCTGCAAGGGATTTGAGCTATGTCCAGTTGCATGAATTTGAAGCTTCAATGTCTTATGCAGGACAGAGCCAGCAGACCCAAGCCTGGCATCAAATGGGTCTAGGCTTATTTACTGTCTTGAATGTAATTCTTCAGGAACAAATTTGGAAAAATGTGGAGGGGAATGCAAAAAACAGAGTTGGAGAGGAAGAGGCTTACTGAGGAGTGCATCATTGCACAGAGGAAAAATGTTATGCATGGAAGAGGAAAAGCTATTGTACAGACTTTCCTAAATTAGTTCCTTCTACATGTGTTCTAACGTACAATTCTTTGGTTACATGATTACATACTAAATTTTCCACTCTTTTTAACTGCAAGCCGTAAAACCTCAGGGACCGCATCTCACAGCATTGTATTGATATCTGCGTGGTTATAAACAGAAGGAATCTTTTATGATTTCCCATACATGACTAACCAACTAGAACTATATACTATGTTCTTCATGATGCAACTTTATGAAGCTGGACAAAGAAAAAGATATTGACCCTATATTCACTGTCAGCTTGACCCTGTGATCCCATACTCTCCACTTAACCCAGCAATATCCCTGTTTCATTCTGGATCTTCATCCCAGTCTGAAGATGCTTACCCAATGCTATGTTCTGCTTCTCTGATTTCTCATCTCCCTCTGAGTACCTTTGTCTAGATTATTGTTCCATTTTCTTCTTGGCTTACTTTCTGAGATTGCAGTTGTCCTAACAGCAACTATTTGTCAAGCTTCCTATTTGCAATACTCTTGAAAAGTCCTAATTCTGCCTCCCAAGCTCCTTATTCAATACTGGTCTCAAGCCTACTGCTACCTCTCCAGCTGTTTGCTCCATCTTTGCCTAAAAAGTGTAAGTACTCATAACCCACGTTCCTTACTGGGTCTGTCTCTCCTTCCCAGGTGCCCTTTTTTCTCTCACTGGAACATACCTCCAGTTAATTTATTTACTGACTCTCAGCATTATCTTCTTGGATCCATCTCTGGCCAGTACTGAGCATATGTGGATTGTGATTTTCCCCAGCCCTCAAAGGGTTAATACCTGGACAAATGTGGGGGAGAACTGGGGATTCATATTTCTGTCAGAGAAAAATTCTTTTTTCTTAACATATTGCACATAAAAAGACATGGAAAAGAACATTATTAAGGTTATAACTTTTAAGTCATTGGAAAAAAATCAGAATTCAACTTTCTTTTGCTGTAGTCTTCAATGGCATAATACTCATGACTTATTCTTTAATAGGTGGTAATAGAACATTTCTTTTGATCTTCTTCAGTCAGTTTGTGGTTGGATACCATCCAAATCTTTTAGTGAACACAGACATGTTAATGTCTTCCTTACTGGACTGAGTGCTTCAAAAACAGTAATTTATGTGTTAACGTGGAAACTCATTAATTTAGGCAAAAGAACATTTGGGTATTGCATCTTGGCTCGATCATACATTCTAAGGATAACAGAACATCAGGGACTGTCAAGTTCTAGAGCCATGGCTGATCTTTGAACTTGGGCCATGAAGCTTTCTAGTTGAGAATCAGGGATTCTCAACTTGGTTTGGATGTGGTTCTCACACTTTGCAGATTTCCTGCTCTGGCATCGGAAGCTCAGCTCATGCTGGAAGTGGACATTCCTGCCTGACAGAAAGTCCAGCTTCCCTGAAATCCTTAGTCAGATATTGAGATGGTCAGATATTCAGAACTGGGATCTGCTGACAGCTGGACAAAGCAGCAAATACACCCATTTGCTTGGGTGCCTGAACAAGAGCAGAGTATGTTTGAAAATAGGATTGACTGCCAATATTAGAATGGGTGCTCTGCTATGCCTTGTGTGAAAAACATTTTCAAGATGAGTTTCCTGAGTGCCTGTCTCCTTGCATGCCTGTAGACAAAAGGAACTGTAGAGCCACATATTCATGTGTCTGAATGTGCAATATTTAGGTCTTAGTGCTATTGCTAAACTAGTTGCACAGTGATATTAGTATAAGACAATCCTTGCAGATAGTAAGGTTATTGAAATGGGATAGGATATTTCTGGGGAAAAAAATAGGATGAACTATACAGTTCTTGCAGTGCTTTACAGTAAAAAAATAGTCACCGTGGGAAACATATTTTGGTTTATGGGATAATCAGGTGGAAGTAATGTCTTAAGGCATGGTACCAGGCACTACACCTTCAGTTTGAAGCTTGTCGCATAGCCAGTGAGCAGCGTTGCTGCACATGCACTATAGAGTTACTCTCAGCACCCTGCCTACAGTCTCTGGTGCTCTAAAACTATGAGGCCACACAGGTTCTGTTTTTTTAAAATCGATTCTCATCATATTATAAAATGTAAAGGAATTTATAATTTTAAGAGTTTAATAATTGGGTGCTGTGTCATTTTTTTTTAAACCAAACTTTGCAACTCTTTTTTCAAATATTATATCTGCATTTTTACGTTCAGAGAGGTCAAGCGATTCAGCCGGAGTTCCAAGAGTGACCAAAATTATTTTTAAACTGTGAAAAATAAAATTAATGGATGAGGGGATTTTTTTCTGCATAATTCCTAAATCTATTATTGTCCTTACAAAAACTGTAATACTATTGCTGTAATTTGTGTAATTTGTTTGTTTAGTTTCATGTGACCTTGTTAGATTTTTTTAAAAAGAATATAATCCACTTCAGTAAGATTTATATTACTTTATCAATTTGTGGCTAAATATAAAAATAAAGAGAAGCAGTCTTACTGAAAATGCACAGGTTTAGAATGAGCAAAGCATATAATGTTCTTTCTGACTTTAACCATGCCAAGAGTGATGCTAATTTCATGCATTTAATTGCAGAAGCATTCTAGTATCTTTTTGCACTGTCCATCATAATGTTTTCTGCTGAACAGAAAATAAACATTGAAATTATCTAAACTGAAAATCTTTGATAAATTGATTTAATTAAAACTGAATTTTTTTTTGCCACTGAAATTCACACTGAATCATCTGTTTCTTTTTTCCTTGGAGAGGGAAAGAGCTATTAATATTTCTAAGCAAGTGTTTTATAAAAGAAATGAAAAATTAGATTTGATCAAGCTTTTGCTGATAACTCAGCTTTTGTGTGAAATAAAAACTAATATTAAGTCATAAAAAGCTCTCTGTTCTGTGTTTTATAGATGTTAGCAGCAATTTTTCACATGAGAAAAAAGCTATCCTGGTTCCTGAAGAAATATTTTCCTGCATATGTTCCTGAATTTAGGAATATTTTCTTAATATGTTTCTAAGTACGAAAGTAAAATGATCTCTTTTGACTTCAGTCATAGGTTCCTAAAGTGTGATGATTTTTTTTCATGTGTGGAGGTGTGAGGGAGGAGGAGAGGAGGGATTGACAATGTGCTATAGTGACTGTAGAGAAGATGTTGTATGAGTAAAACCTTTAAAAATTACTAAAGCGGGTATAATATCATAGCATTTTATCTCACTTACAAATCTCTGGTCTCTCAACTTTACAACATTAGTTCATGTAAGCAGTGAAAAGCATATCTTTTAGCTGGTTTTAATATGCAAAATTTTAAAAGAAATATTGCAAGGGATCAAAAGAATATTTGATACTTTAGTGTTACTGAATAATAATATTTGACAAGATAAACATTACAGTTTTATTCTCATTAGTGCTATTGCTTAATAATTTTCTTCAAACACCTCAGCTGCTCTCTCTTGCAGTATTTCAAGTTCTTGAACTTACAGAAAATGGAATAGTTCTGAATTAATTTTGCTGTCTGCAGCTGTAATCTGTGCTAACTCTCTACACGATTTGAATGGCCAACTGAAGTGGTTTCTGGAAAGGCTGTGACTGTATTTAACTGCCATGTATTTTATTCAATCTGCAGGGTAATGATGTTCGGATAATCCTTGGCCAGTTTGATGAGGAAATGGCTGTGAAAGTTTTCTGCTGTGTAAGTAAATATATTTAACTGCATATCAGAATAAATAATGTGTTACATTTGAATAAAAAATACATTTGAGCATAAACATTTCTTCATGGGGTTCAGCTCTGTCAAGGTTTATATCATCAAGAGAGGTTACACATTCTTAGCTCCATTTCTGTTTAAATAAAATACTTTGTACTTGACTTCAGTGAAATTTAGGCATGGACTGCATGGTTAGCTGCTTCTTATTGCTTTCCTGTAGTAGAATTAAAAGCCAATCGAGCTTGAGCATTTCTTTTCATGTCAGATCCAGGGAAATGCTTGTATATGTAGCAGCAGATACAGAGAACTGCAAGATTTCAATCTTGTCAAAGAGGTGTGTTCTGGTGGTAATGTCTGTATGTATGTGGGTTTGCATGTTTTGCTTTAAAAGAATAAGAAATTCAAGCAGTTCCTATACATGCTAACTAAACAACCCTAATAATTTCTGCTACTCAGTATGTTGCTAATTGTGCAATCATTCACTTTTAACTGCTGTACGTTTTACATGTTTTACATGAAAGCAAATTTTAGTTCGTAAAAAATAAAGATTTTTGAATTAAAAGAAATGTAATAAGACCAGCATACATAAAATTCCCTATCCTCAGCATTTGTTTGTGTGTGTGAATGTGCTGCAAACATGCACAGTGTGATTGTCATTTAAAGTAGCAGGATTAAAATGTGATCTTTATTTCTACCTGCTCAAAAAAAAAAAAAAATCCCAAACAGGCAGACTGTAGTGGCCTAAATTTTGTATTGGTATTGAATTCTTAGTTTAAATAACTAGATTAATCCTGTATGAGCCAAGAATACAATAAGTATAATGGAAAAGCAATAATGATGGCATCTAAATTTCAGAGGGTGTTTTTTAGTGTTCAGTTAGAGAGACAAAGTTACCTATCCAAGCAAAGAAAGGAAAGGCAGAAGTTCAAAATCTGATTGCTACATGTGCCTCAGCCACATGTTGGCTCTTACTCAGCAGCTGTCCTAGTTGCTGGCAAAATTTGGAAAGGAGATTGTAGAGTATATTTGGAAGGAACAAAATCTGTTTGCATCCAAAAGGAAATGGAAAGCATTATTTTCTTTTTCATTCTTCTCATCTCTGATCAGTCTTTGTATATAGATCTTTTTGTTCCGGCATTTAAATTGGATTGACAGAGATAATCTCCCATTTTTCCATTCCTGGAAGAAAGAATGGTCCTTCTGTGGCCCAGCTCCTCCTCAGATCCCTTGCAGTTGGGCTGCGTTTCCCCAGCTGAGGGGTCCCGATCAGAACTGTCTTCCAACCCAACGTCAGACAAGAGATTGGCCTTGCTTATGCCACTGCCCTTAGTATCTAGTTGCCTTCCTCTACAATTCTTTTCCAAGTCCATGTGCCTGTGAGGCCACTGAAGAAATCGAGAAGTCCTCGGAAGGGCAGGGTGTCTTCTTGTCTGCACCACTCTAGTCTGAAGGATTTCAGGTGGGGGATATCTCTTTCACACGAACGCCCGGTGTAGCTTTCTGTGGCAACGGTTTGGTACAAACATGGGAAGTGTGCGTAACTCAGAGCAGTTTAAAGAGTGATGGCTGCTTCTAAATTACATTAGTGTCAAAAGTAATAGGGTGGATTTTTCTGGAGCCTGGGGAAATCTGAGAGATCATGTATTTAGGCTTGTATAAATGTATTTATATGAGAGTTTAAGCAGGAGACTGAATGCAGGAGAGGGCACTTCAAAGTAGGTCATTTATATATTAATGCACTACAATTTGTCAGTAAGCTTGTTATTAGTCATAAAATATATTGTTGACTCATGCACTCCCACAGGTATGTGTCTAAGAGCACAATAATTTAGATATGTCAAGTTTTTTAACCCCCTTCCCCAGGTATATCTTCAGACAGGTTTCACTTGTGATTCTCTGTTATATTTTGCAGGGTGGCTGATGTCGGCCAGAGAAAGTCTTTGGGTTTGTTAAAGGAAGGTGCTATTGTACTAGTGCAAGATTATTTTTTTTTTTTCTGATTGTGGTTATAACCTGAATATTATTTGCTAATGATTTAGGTAGGTGGGAAAATCTTTAAAGTCTGCCTCAGTTTTCTGTCTTGATTCAACAGTCATGTGCTGTCCTGAGGTTTCCTCAGGACATCCATTGGAGTTTACGTGTTCATTTTCCCTGGCTATTTCCTCCCCCTCCCCCCGAACACACACACACACACACACACAAAAGATGCAGAGCACATAAAGATAAATGGACTAAAAAATAGTCTAATTCAGTGGCAAACTTTAAAAACATGACAGGACTAATTCAAGCCAAAATGAATGTTAGCAGGTGTTTCCTACGGTGATTTAAATAAGCTTAGCTATTCATTTAACACTAGTGTCAAAAGCAGTTAGCAATTTTAATTCTATGGAAAATCTTAGGTTTCTAATGTTGTTTTCACCTCAGTAGGATGAATGTGATATTTTTCATGGAATAGAAATTAGGGTATTTTGCTCAAAACTTAACAGTTCAACAATCAAACTGGTCAGCTGTGTTGGATAGACATAATCTTTTTTTCATTTGAAATTGGATTAACATGAAATTGCATCTTCCCAATGAAAACTTCAGTTGTACAGAAAATTCTATTTTTAAAGAATTGTTAGTGGGAGTTTTTCCAACATATTATCTTTAAGACATAGAGATAATGCAGTATAGCCATGCACACATCAAGACTGACGCCTAGCTGATACAATTATCTGTCTGAAGACAATTAAAGAAGATGACTATTAAGCGTAGGTCACTGCATGAGCTTTAGGTGTCTCTTTTAGTAAACATTTAATAATAAATAAAGCCAGGCTTAATCAGCATGGTTGATACAAAAGGGCTGGACACTGTTGTTCTTGAGCTGATAGAGTTTTACTGCTGAGTCTCTGTTTTGGAATTAAAGGCACTATTGATTTTTAGTGAGAAATGGATGGAGGTTCGTTGCAATTCAGAAGTCTACAGGCATTCTTGTAGGGGTGGGATATAGGATGTGTCCGTGCTGTCATGTTGGAAATATGATGGAAATTCAATGATGGTAAGGTTTTGCAGGCACTCTTGAACAAACTGCTAGTCATTGTTTACTACACATAGAAAGATCTTTTACAGAAATGTCTTTGTTGTAAATAAGCATCTCTTTATGGATTCAAAGAAAAAGGAAAAGTTTAAAAAAAATTTTAAAAATCAGTCTCACAAAGGCAGAAAATGTCCAGGGCAGTTTCCTGGCGGCTTGACAACAACTCAGGGATTTGCAGTCTAGGTAGGGCACGCAGGAAAGATTAGGGAAGACATATGACTACTTTATGCTGTTCTGATGGTAGAAAGCACTTGTAAACCTTCTTTGCCTTACTCTTGTGTGCCAACAAATCTGCCCCTTAGAAACTAAAACCTGTAAGAATTGGTCTGTGTGCACTCAAGCAGTTCAAGAAAGATCCGCATATTTCAAGGATATGTATCTTTTAAGCATCAAAATCATCTCCATTTAGCAGAATCAACAGGGAGGAAATGGTGGCAGAAAGCATTATTTTGAAATAAGTCTTCTGGAACCCAAGCACTGAAATGCCTGAACACTAACAACTGTGCTGTCACTAGAAAAGTGACTGCATGGTCGTGGTGCTTAGCTTTGGAGGAGCTGATTTTGTTCCTCCTTCTTTTGCCTTCCCCAGATTATCCTTCAAATCCTACCATTCCACCAGATCGCAAATGGAGAGTTGCCAGCTCTTAAGGTGTTTGGGTTTTGCTTTTTAAAGCAAAATCTAGACATGTAACCAAATTCTTGCAGGAATGTGAGTGTTTCAGTGCAACGTTGGGAATGATCCCTTGTTTCCAGGGTGGAATTTCTGGCTATTTTGAAACTTTTAATTTTCAGCCCATATCCCAGCACGTTTACAGATTATGCAGGAAACAGGCTCAAGTGCAAACAGAAAAATTCCAACAGCTCCAATTTCAGAATAGTTCATAGCCAATACTTTCTTGCAACACACTATTTGATACTTTAATCTCTATAGAGCAGGGGAAGCTACTGATCATTGTCCTTCTCTAAAAGCACTATTCTGTGTTAATTTGTGTCCTCAGTGACTTGAAAACTGTCAAATAAAAGACATTATATCACTGAAAGGTCTTGACTGACCTCATTGTGTAATGGAAACTCTTTTAGACATCAGAAGGTGTTGCAGGATGGGATTGCTATTTTCTTCACAGGTGGATGTGGGATGCAGTGTCCTCCTACGCCATAGCTGTGGGAGGAGTAGAGATGGGCAGGAGGGCAAAAGCAGATGTGTTTCTGGAAGGGTAGAATTAATGAGAGAGAGAAAGACAAGCAAATTATGTGGATTGTGGAATAAGTAAGATATGAGATGCAAGACACTGGGTTTCAGACAGAAGTGCTTTCAAGCAGCACTGTATACAAATGCATGAAATTTGATTTTGGTTGAACAAAAAGTCCTGCAACCAGGGGCCAAACAAATCTGCTTTGTGCACAATACATTTATGAACTGAGTTGACACCATTATAATAGCCTTCACAGATTTAAAGCTCAGTTTTAATTTGGGTATTAATGTATTTAGGAGGCTGTCCTATTCGTATTTTTTGCTATTCATTTTTATTTTTCTGATAGGCTTTTGGTATGATCTTTGGGATACTTTTCAAAACAGTTATGTTCTGAATGACTAATATGTCCTGTTTGCATTCTTATAATTTCCTCCTTCTGTAATGTTTTCTGTGAAGATATAGCAGTTTTCCAGTTAAGAATTCTAAGGTTGTGCCATGTATTTCTAAAATTAGAATTTTTATCTTATAAGTATGTCTTGTATCTCCAGTATTGCTTATATTAGGAGCCAAAGAAGCATGAAACCTGCTGTTTTGAAATGGAGTCTGACTGAAATGTCAAAAGAAAAAAGACAGTGAGAGAAACATCTGAGATAAAATTTACTAATTTTATCGTAGAACACTACTCCACACAATGGAATAGAGTATCTATTGTGAATGGATCAGCTTTTAGGCACAACAACATATGTGCCTGACTAATAAAGTATTTCTGTTTCCTGTTACATGTATCTGCTATGTCTTGTAAGGAGATAACCGTCATCTCAGTATCTTGAAGTACATTGGGCCATATTCAGTATTCAAACAATACACAATTTCACCTGAAGACATTTTGTGCTGAAAAAAAAGAAATCACTGAGATTTGTTTGCTTTATCAATTTGCTATTGATTCATGCTCCTCAGAAGAAACTGCTTACGTAATGTCCCTGTGGTCTCCATTTTAGCACAGTCACATAACTCATATTTGCAACATTGTGATTTGATGGTGCCTAGGATCCAAGTTTTCTTGTTTAACTTTATCCTGTTTTATGTGGTCTTTAGGATGATATTAGGAGGATAATAATTTAGTTTAAATGTGGTGGTCCTAGCACTCATGTAATAGTTGTGTCATGGAGAATTTTTATGCAAATGCTCTGCCTTCTGCCAGTGTTCCTCTTTACCTCCCCCGGTTTTAGAATCCAGTATTTTATTTTTCTGTTTTTGAATAACTGGTCTACTGAAAGCAAAATAGGTTTTAGTATATTCTCTTCTTGTGACCTGAATTTTAAAGACAGGAATCTTCAAGAAAGGAGTCTTCATTGTTAGCAAATAATTATTCTAAACTGTTCAAGATACTTGTGTATCCTTCAATTATGCCATAATTTCATTAATAATAGAAAAAAACATAAACAGAAAACAATTACTTTTATGTTCAATATGTCTATTACAATGTCTATTAGCTTTTCTACTTCTCTTTCTTTGTAGGCTTATGATGAAGAAATGTATGGCAGCAAGTACCAGTGGATTATTCCAGGGTGGTATGAAAACCTTTGGTGGGAATCCTGGATTAATTCCTCACAGTGTCTCAGCAAAAATCTTCTTGCAGCAATGGAAGGTTATATTGGAGTGGATTTTGAGCCTCTCAGTTCAAAAATGACAAAGACCATATCAGGAAGGGTTAGTACTTTTCCTCCAACTATTTTATTATGCAATCAGTTGTGTCACCAATGTCTTGACACAGCAAAGCACGGAGGAGGGAGGTGAAGCTAAAACGTTCTTCTGCAAAGAGCGCTGGCAGTCATCATGGTTATTCTCATCTTTCCACTGGTTTGCCGTTTTTAAATATTTAGAAATCAATTCCAGTTCTCTACAGGGTAAGGAAACAGTAAAGTCCCTTGCCTCAAATCTCTCCTGTTCCCCCTGTATGAACATTACAGTTAAATGTACAGTAAAGCTTGAATTATAGTCTGCAGTATCACATGCTGCGTCATGTCAGGTTAAATAGTTAAGCACAGAAACAGAAAACTTTTCTGTTTAACCCTAATCCTGCAAATGGCTAATTTCATTGGTGATTTGTGCCTCTCAGAACTAGGGGGTGGGGCTTGTTTAAAATATGTAAATATGTAGTATTTCCATAAAGTACATAACATTTTATCACAGAACAAATGCATGCAAACTCTGGCCAATGAGCAAACATGCTGATTTTGCCGCTTTTCATCTTTTTTCATGTGTCTTTCATGCCTTGCTGAGTGAGCGCAAAAGGCAACTTTACAAAAAGGCAACTCATCATAAGATAGCACACCATAAAGAGCATAGTAAACTTGTAAAACATAGACAAATTGCCACTCAAATAATTTCACATTAAGCAAATAGTTGCTCAAGTAAAGGTTATTTGATTTCCATTATCCTATAAAGAGTAATCAGACCACTAATTTGCAGGGATACAGACTTATTCTCTGTTCTAGCATTATGGCTCACCAGTATGCTGCTAGCTTTGGTTGAACTGAAGCCTTTTGTATGAAAGCAAAATAAAGCAAGTTGTCCTTCATACAGGGAAGCAGAACAACTGCTTTTCAGTATCTCTGTCCCCTAGGTCTCCCGCCCAGTCTCACCATCAGTCTTGGAAGTCAGGCAACACGTGTTTCTTCCTTAGTGTTTGTTTTGGCGGTCTTTTCTGTATTAGTGATGCATGTCTCTAAATTGGAGACTGAGGTTCAAGGTGCAGGTTTAGACGCAAATCTGTAAAATGTTAAGTATTGAAGTAAACCCGAAGTTTTTCTCCTCTGCAGACTCCACAGCAATATGAAAAGGAATACAATGCCAAGCGCGGTGATGGACAATCCAGCAAATTTCATGGTTATGCCTACGATGGAATATGGGTGATTGCCAAGACTCTGCAGCACGCAATGAAGCATCTCAATGAGACCAAGCAGCACCAAAAAATTGAAGATTTTAACTATACAAATCACAAACTTGGCAAAATTTTTCTGGATGCTATGAATGAAACCAGCTTTTTTGGAGTAACGGTAAGTCCCAACCAGATACTTGTGGGGTGGAGGAGGCTTGTGGTTTTAAGTCAGTAGCTGAAGCAAGCATTAAATTTCAAATACTCTTGAAAAAGAAACATAGTTGTGTAGTTCTTATATCTTCAGAGCTTCCACAGTTCTATTTTATCTTAAAAATTAATGTTGTTTCCTTGAGACTCTTGCTCATGACCTGTCTTCTGATGTCAAGTGATGGCACTGTACAGTTCCTCGGTTATCAGATTTTTAAGCATGGATGTCATCTGAACTAACAACTCAGAGTAGTCTCAAGGGAACCACAAGTGTTGCAACCTGCATGACCTTTTAAGTGACTGTTTTAGCAGCTGAGGAGTAGCTGGAATGTGATCTGAAAATACGTCCTATTTCCCTCCATCATTTATTTTTGATAATAGGTCATAGTACACTAATATCTCCAACTCCAGTGCTGTACATCCTAGATATTCTTACAACATACTTCAGTTGCCATTTAAATTTATTTATAATTTGTATTTTTTCACAGTCAAGTACAAAGCATGTTGACTATGACTTAAGAAGAACTGGTCACATATAGTAATAAACTCATTCTGTTTTGAAATGCACCATTGCAAATTCATAGTAAATTTTTTTTTTATTGACATTGCTTCTAGTTTTTAGCACAGTAAAACGGGTGACAGAAGTGTGGCCCTAAAATTTCTTAATTACTTAATTGTATTTGAGGCAATGTCAACCAGAAGTTAATGGTGCATATGTGTTCAGGAGTGTGGAGAGCCATACTCCTTCACCAATAGAGATGAGCAGACTCCATTTTGGGGAGAATGGTCTTTACAGTTTCCGATGGTAACAAATGAGAAACCTACTGGAACACACTTCATTAAGCGGTGTACTTGGGCTGCAACATGGCTAGATAAGGACATCAGAGTGTCGAAGAAATGCGTATTTCAGCAGTGCACAGAGGGAGTGCTTTTAGGTACCTCCTTGCAGCAAGAGCGTGCAGAAGGTTGGCAACATTTCTGCCACTGTGCAGTAGCTTGTCAGATTCTGTCCCCAAGTTAATTTAAATTGTCTTGGATATCAGTTAACCTCAAAATATGTTGCTGTAGCAGAACTAAAGTTATCATACATGTCACAGATTGGTTCAAGGAGGAAACGCCTACATATAGACATCAACAATTAGTGCAGGCTCAACTTTTTGGTGTCCTTGTTAATTGCTGAAGAAGCCTATGTTTTGTATCACAGTACTATTGAAACTAATTTAGGATTTGTAAGTAAAAACCAATCATATAGCAAGACAATACCAGAATCTAGTTGCCTCTACAATATGAATTTTGCTTTCTTTTTACACTGAATTTGCCTGAAGGTTTCAGTAAAAGAATTGTGCAGTTATGGGGTATCCCATTACATCCATAGCAGGACTGGATCTTTGATGAAACTTTCGGTCAGTAGCAGCTATGAAACAGACTCTGCAGGGACACAGACATCTCTGTCCTGAGTTATTCCAAGTACAGTATCTCTCAATGCGGTTGAAATTGTATATTGCTATGTAGTTCAGTGTTTTTTTTTCTTTCCCCATCTTAGCCTTTTTGCCTGCTGTTTAGTCCTGACAGCTGATTATGGTAAAATCGATAGATTTCATTAGCACTGCTTAATTGCCCTTCACTGCTCCCCCCCAAAAAACGACCCCAAAACCTCTAAGATGAAGAAGGCTCTTTTTTATTCATTTCAGAGACACCAGCAAAACCTCTCACATGAACTGCATCCCTTTAGGGAGGGAGTGAATCAAAGTTTCACCAACCATATTCAGCTGTGTTTACTTACTTTATTCCCTCAGGTATAATGGTTTTTAAAGAAATTACTGTATGATTATTCACTGCATTTAGTGCTTGTCTGAGGCCCTTTGTAAAATGTTTCTCTTTAAGATTGGTCTACCAAGTCATCGTGACAATGCACAGCTCAAATCTGGTATTTGCAAGGATCATGCTTCTTGCTCCTATAATATATTCACAAAAACATTTTAATCAGAAAGATAAGGAGAGAAGAAAATCTATAACAGCTACACTTTCTTAGGATATAATTAGAACAAACAACACTCAAGTTTTTCCAGACAGTGTGAAGAAGAAGAGTTCTATAGTAGATATTAAAAGTTTTGCATTGAAATGTTCAGAAAGTTGAAGGAACAGATTGATTCTTATCAGACATATTTTTAAACTTTTTATTCTTCAGTCTAATAAATTGCTGTCATTTGTGACCTAATTTAAAACTTTCACTGGAACATAAGTTTTAGGTCTTGGAGTGCCAAATCTCATGTTAAGATTTTTTTCAGAAAAAGTATTTTAGTGTAAAATTTTTACAATTTATTTTTAAAAACTTATTCTAAACAGGAAAAGGACATTCATTTATTCTAGACTATCTATGCCAAATATAAAATGAGTTTCTGAAAAAAGAAGAAATAAAAGGAAGGAGAAAATCTGATCAATATTCAAAAACTCATCCAATAATATAGTAAAATATGTTGTTAACAATTAGGTAAAAGGAGAAGGTAGAAAGAAGCTGTAGACAAGAATCTAAAAATGCAAAATCTATTAAGGACAGGCATCTTTATGCTTTCTGTGAATATGATATCAGAAACATTATCATGTCATAAATAATAAATCCCTTTACCCAATTTTCATTTTCTTTGAAACTATTTATAGTAAACCACAAAAAATATAATCACTGTTGAGTGGTGTTATTTGTGGATTTTTTTAAACAATTTTGAAAAGACTTGCTGGGAGTGAAGTGTGCTAGTTCCTGATTACACAGAATGTCATTCTTTCAGTTTTCTGTTCGTTTTTCTGACCTTTTTTTTTTTTTTCTTTTTCCTAGGAAGCAACATTTAGAAAACAGTTTAGGCTATTGCCCAAAGACTTGACAGGACTAATCCTCTTTTTGTGCATGAGAAATTCAGTACATAGATGTTACTTATTCTAATTTTACTGTCAGAAATCTATTGGAAAGAAAATTATAGCTATTCCTTAAACATTCCTGAAGGTTCTGCTCTTTTCCTGGATTTTTTTTTTCTCTTAGCAAAGTGGTTCGTTCTTTTATTTTTTCTTCATGCTTATCTGACTTATAGTCATGTTGATTACCATATAATTTTCTCATGTATTTTGAATATAGAGCACGGAAACATATATTTGGTGTTTTATCAGAAAACAGTAATGTATTTATCTGCTACACTTTTTCTAAGGTAAAATGGATACTGTTTTACAGGTACAAAAGGACTTTGTCATGACAAATGCAATACGAACAAACAAAAGACCTGCAGGGATGTTCCTACAGTTTTCTTGATCTGAATGTCCTAATTCTGCAGTCAGATCCCCTGATGTTGGCCGTTTTTAAATCGAGTGAGGCATTGTGTGGTTAGAATTGTCCATCTGCAGCTTTCAGGATAGGAGTCCTTTTGATTTGGGACTAGCTTGGCTTTCATGGTTTACATTTTTCTAATTCCTTGCTTATCAGAGCACTTACTTATTTTTTAATGAGAAAGTTATTGAAACAAAAAAATCTCTTAAAGGATTTTGGACAATTTTTTCCACTTTTCTCAATCCAGATAAAGCCAGTTTTGTAAACTGAATGCAACCCTGCCACCTTAATGGTTTATAAACTGCCAGATGCCTGTTTCCTTGCTAAATATATCCCTCTGCTCAAATCGTACATCTTCTTTCTGATAATCTAAGTGTCAAAAAATGAAAGATAAGAAAATAAGTACTCACACAGTTTATTTTGACACAGTATAGATGTCTGAGGAGTCCCTTTATGTAGTTGATAGAGCCACTGGAGGAAATTTAGAGTTGGAGAATACTGAGGTCTCTGTTGAAGTGTTACTACTTTGAATCAGGAGAGAGTGACGAAATTATGAGAAACAAAATATACATTTGGGATATCTGTATATCTGCATTTCAATTATACAGCAGTTTATAGCATACTAACTATAACATGCCCTTCATGTATGTGTGAAAGCCGAAGAGAATTTTCCACAGAGCTAGAATTATTCTCCTGAAGCAAGATTTTTTGCATAAAGGATAAAAAAAAAAAGAAGAAAAGTCTGACTTTATTTTGTGTAATACAACCATAGTATAACTTGTAGGCTTGATAATTAGTGAAGAATTAGTGCTGTCTTCTCAGGATGCCAAGTCGTATTTAGTGCATACTGAATCAAAATCCATCTAGAAAATAGAAGAATTTTATTTTAGTCATTTTTTTCTTTTTTTTTTTTTTTTCTCTTTGTAAAGACTATGGATGGTTACATAGTACCTCACAACTACAGCAATGTTTATATTTGTTAGCAAAAAAATGTTGGTTATACTTGGAAGGATATTAAATACAACATTTCTTCTCAGTATGGTAAAAGTTTGTATTGGTTCCATGGGGTAGCCAGGTGGTGGGAAAAAAAAGACGAGTGTTGGAGATAATTTTTAATTTATTTTTTATGCAAAACATGACATTCTTTTTAAAAATGCTTTCTTCTAATTTCCTAATTGCTTCACCTTTGTCACTGATGTAGAATCATAGAATAGAATCATAGAATCATTCAGGTTGGGAAAGACCCTTAAGATCATAAAGTCCAACCCTTAACCTAGCACTGCCAAGTCCAGCACTAAACCATGTCCCTAAACACCACGTCTACACATCTTTTAAATACCTCCAGGCATGGTGACTCAACCACTTCCCTGGGCAGCCTGGTCCAATGCTTGACAACCCTTTACCTGAAGAAATTTCTCCTAATATCCAGTCTAAACCTCCCCTGGTGCAACTTGAGGCCATTTCCTCTCGTCCTATCGATTGTTACTTGGAAGAAGAAACCAACACCCACCTCACTACAACCTCCTTTCAGGTAGTTGTAGAGAGCAATAAGGTCTCCCCTCAGCCTCCT